AGGAGTGGGATTTTGTGGATAAAATTCCTTTATGCTGCTCTGGGGTGCTGCTCCTTCTGGTGTCCCTCAGCTCCCGCTCTCTGCTTGGGATTTTTTGGGTTTAGAGTAAGATCAGGTCTCTCACACCACCTCCCTCAGCGTGGTGATAACACAGTTCTGTCAGGCCTGGGCTCTGGTTGCTCTGGCAAGAATTAATCTTCATCCCAGCCTGGAAAAATGTGAGGCTTTGTCCCAGTGGCTGCTTTGGCTGCTCATGGTGTCAGCCTGGCTCCTCACCCCACAGCTGAGCTCAGACAGCAGTTTGTGTCACTTGGTTCATGGTGATGACTGGGAGTGTCTTCCCGGGCTGAACTGGAGCTAAATGTTTTAGTTTTAATTCATTTGGTTCCCTCTGCTTCCACATCAAGGACAGTAATCCCTGGTAATTCTCTGTTCAGGCTCCTCACCACGTCCACCAGGCTGACAATGACACGAAACGCTGTCTGGGCCTTGTCAAACCTGTGCAGAGGGAAGAGCCCACCTCCTGAGTTTGATAAGGTGAGAAGAAATGCCCTGCTGGCATCAGGTGATGGGGAGACACCCAGTTAAGAGTTTTTCTGGGTTATTTTGGGCTGTAGAACTCGAGGAGGGCACAGGATGAGGTTTTTCCTGCTGAGGTTGATCTGCATCTTTAATTTTTCCCAACCTTTCTGCTGCACCCCTCAAATAAAGGACAGGCCCAGGCTTCCCTAGAAAGTTTCTCTAAACCATTTTCTTATGAAATCTGGAATTTTGAGGCTTAAGTTATGACCCACTGGAAATGGGAATGCTGAAAACCAAAACTCCTTGTGAGCTGTGGTATCTTCCCTTTCCCTGTCCAGGGAACCTAACTAAAGGTCCTGCTGGCTTTTCAGGTATCTCACCTTCCTTTGGCAACACAAAAACACTTTAAATCAGCACGTTTTCACTTTTTAAAGTGAAACCTCACATATCAAAGGGGTTAAATCTAAATTGAATGTAAATATAAACCCACTTACAAATAATTGAGGTGAACTTGGTCTGACCACTGCGAGTCAGAAACGGAGCAGAGCTCTTTCACAGAAGCTCAGTGGAACCCCTCGGTGTCATCTGAGGTGGCTGTGGGAAGAAGGGCTCTGTGGCCATGCAGGACTTGAGCTGAGCAGTGAGCAGGAGGTGTTTGCCTGCAGCTCTGGTGGTCCTGGCCTGGTGACTAACCCTGGGTGGTGGCTGTTGTTGCAGGTGTCTCCCTGCCTGCCAGTGTTGTCCCGATTGTTGTTCAACAGTGACTCTGACCTGCTGGCAGACGCGTGCTGGGCTCTGTCCTACCTGTCCGATGGTCCCAACGAGAAGATCCAGGCTGTGGTGGACTCAGGGGTGTGCAGGAGGCTGGTGGAGCTCTTAATGTGAGTATCTGTCAGGAGATTGACTAATCCAGCTCTAAATCCCACCAAACTTCCCGTGCACCACGGGATCCAGGCACCTGAGCTGACCCAGGAGGATCTGGAGCAGCTGGAATTTGCTGGCTTGGCTTCCTGAGCTGAAGATTTTCCAGTTCTACTCTACACTGTGAAAAGATACCTGTGTTGGTATCAACATCTGCCCCAAAAATTACGAATCCATTGATAAAACAAATGTTATCACTGTAAATGTCTGAAATTCAACCTTTTTTTGAGCATAGGCTGACCACACAGACAACTGGGAAGAACTTTCTCTCTGCTTTCCCAGATTTCCTTAATGATTGCAGAATGTTGTGTGCTCTGGATGCCTGGTTATGAGGCAAATCAAAGAACAGCGGCTAGGAGAAATCAGCTTGCCTTTGTTTCTCCAAAATCTGCATGGAAAAGGGATTGGAGTCAGGATACAAAGCATCAAACTGTGTTACAGCTTTGTTTTCAGTGGCAATATGCTCAGCTTACCCCGAGTTCTGTGTGGCAGGGGATGGAATCCTAAGGAAATGGTGCAGATGGGATGATGGGGAGGGAACATGGTGAACATCCCAGCGATCTGATGGAGTTGGGTTTGTCTTTGCACAATTCTCCTGCAGGCACAACGATTACAAAGTGGCCTCTCCAGCTCTTCGAGCAGTTGGCAACATCGTGACAGGGGATGACATCCAGACCCAGGTGAGAGGAGAGGAATTTCCTGCAGGGAATGCAGTGCCTGGCACTGGTGATCTCACTTGTGCTTCCTTTCCCCCCCACAAAAGGTGATTCTAAACTGCTCAGCCCTGCCTTGCCTCCTCCATTTATTGAGCAGCCCCAAGGAATCCATCAGGAAAGAGGCGTGCTGGACCATATCCAACATCACAGCAGGGAACAGAGCACAGATCCAGGTACAGTCTCCCCCAGCCTGCCTGCAGCCATCCCACATTCCAAGCTCAGCATTAAGGATTTGCAGCTTCTTCCTTTCCCTGACCCTTAGAGGCTGGATTGGTTCATTTCTCTTATTCTGCAGCAAATTTTGCTGCTGCCAAACGACCTAAAAAATTAAGATGAAAATTAGGAATGGCAGCAGTACATGGACTCAACCCCATCCAGGTTGGATCATTGGAATTGGAGGAGATACAGCTCCTATTTCTCCATCCTCAATCCCTTGGAAGAGCTGGAGCTGGTTGAGGTTTAATTATCCTTTTCCTGACCTCCAAAGGGAAGCAGAGAAGAGCTTTCAGCATTCCCCCAGTATTGCTGCAATTCCAGGGATTCTCTGGAATCTGTGGTTGTTCCATACTATGGATGGAATATTATGTGTGATGGTTATGGAATATCTGAAATCTGTGGTTATATCTGGAATATCTGGTTATAGAGTATCTGGAATTCTCTGGAATCTGTGGTTATTCCATAATCAGTCATGATGGTTATGGAATATCTGGAATTATCTGGAATCTCTGGTTATTCCATAATATGGATGGAATATTATATGTGATGGTTATGGAATATCTGAAATCTATGGTTATACCTGGAATATCTGGTAATGGAATAACTGGAATTCTCTAGAATCTGTGGTTATTCCATAATCAGTCATGATGGTTATGGAATATCTGGAATTATCTGGAATCTCTGGTTATTCCATAATATGGATGAAATATTATATGTGATGGTTATGGAATATCTGGAATCTGTGGTTATTCCATAATCAGCCACAATGGTTATGGAATAGTTGGAATTCTCTGGAATCTCTGGTTATTTCATAATATGGATGGAATATTATATGTGATGGTTATGGAATATCTGAAATCTATTGTTATATCTGGAATATCTGGTTATGGAATAACTGAAATTCTCTGGAATCTGTGGTTATTCCATAACCAGCTATGGTGGTTATGGAATATCTGGAATTCTCTGGAATCTATGGCTATTCCATAATATGGATGGAATATTATATGTGATGGTTATGGAATATCTGGAATCTGTGGTTGTATCTGGAATTCTCTGGAATCTATGATAATTCCATACCCAGCACATCTGGTGATGGAATATCTCCTTTTAATAGGATTTGGCTGAGGAACAAACCACAGCAATCACTTCAGCTTGGGAAGTTCTTCACCTGGGGATGTGGAAGTGGAGGTTTCTTTCAGGAAACCTTTTGGGAAGTGCTGCCAATCCCAAGCCCTCTCCCTGCCCTCTCTTCCCAGGCAGTCATCGATGCCAACATCTTCCCGGTGCTGATCGAAATCCTGCAGAAAGCGGAATTCCGCACGCGGAAAGAGGCGGCCTGGGCCATCACCAACGCCACCTCGGGAGGCACCCCTGAGCAGATCAGGTATTCCTGAGCCTCCCCTCCTGGGCCACACCTGCCTGGGGTGGAATTCAGGCCAATTTCCAGGCAAAGGAGGAATTTGGAGAGATTCTGGAGAGTAACGGAGACAGGCAGAGCTGGCTGCTGGATGAGGATCCCAGATTTTCTCCATCTCTCTTTGGGTAGTTGAGGCTACATCTCCAAATGTAATGACAGATTAAATCCCAGTGTGGACTTAAGTCAAGCAGCACCTGGATTTCAAAAGTGGCTCAGGTCAGATATTCCCTGAGCCTCCCCTCCTGGGCCACACCTGCCTGGGGTGGAATTCAGGCCAATTTCCAGGCAAAGGAGGAATTTGGAGAGATTCTGGAGAGTAACGGAGACAGGCAGAGCTGGGTTGTGATTTCCTGCTGGATGAGGATCCCAGATTTTCTCCATCTCTCTTTGGGTAGTTGAGGCTACATGTCTAAATTTAATGACAGACTAAATTCCAGTGTAGACTTGATTTTGGCAGCACCTGGATTTCAAAAGTAGCTCGGGTTGGATATTCCCTGAGCCTCTCCTCCTGGGCCACACCTGCCTCACTTCCTGGGGTGAAATTAAGGGGAATTTCCAGGCAAAGGAGGAATTTGGAGAGCAACAGAGACAGGCAGAGCTGGGTTGTGATTTGTGATTTCCTGCTGGATGAGGATCCCAGATTTTCTCCATTTCTCTTTGGATAGTTGAAGCTAAATGTCCAAATTTAATGACAGATTAAATTCCAGTGTGGACTTAAGTTGGCAGCACCTGGATTTCAAAAGTGGCTCATTTCCTTAAAAAAAAAAAGATTTCTGAAAATAGGGCTGCATACAAATACAAATAAATGCATCAAAATTAACCTTGCAGAGCAGTAAATGTGTATTTTAAGGTAAATTTCTGGATTTTAGTTGGACTCCTTTGCTTTCCCAAGGAGCCAAGGTGATGCCACTGAGCAGGCAGTGATGTTGGTGCTGCTCTCCCCCTGCAGGTACCTGGTGAATTTGGGTTGTATCAAACCCCTGTGTGACCTGCTGACTGTCATGGACTCCAAGATCGTTCTGGTGGCATTGAACGGGCTGGAAAACATCCTGAGGCTGGGAGAGCAGGAAGCCAACCAGAGTGGGACTGGGATCAACCCCTACTGCAGCCTGATCGAGGAGGCCTATGGTAGGTGGGGCTTTGGGCACTGCAGGGCTCTCTCGGCTGCTTTTCTGCTCTGTTGAAGGGTTTGTTATATTCCAAAATAGCCAATATTTGTTCCAAAATCTTTTCAAACTCATTTAGTGAGTGATGAGAAAAATAACTCTGACCTGGAGTCCAAGCTGAAAATCGTGCCTTGCACCAGGTGGGAGTATGAGCCAGAAATGAGCTGAGCTAAGTAAAAAGTGACACTTCTTGATCTAAAATTGCTCTGACTGTGCCCAATTTTACACTGGAAATCCAGGGAGATTTTGCTTTTCCCTGGAGTGATTTAATTTGCTGCTGATGGATTTTTTTTTTTTTCTTGGTCCTGCTCTCGATGCTTTGAGGGAGGAACAAGTTCCTATTTTGGTCTGAAACTCCCTGTGAGCTGGCAGTGTCTGTTTTGCCCTCTCACTATGGAATATCTGGAGTGTCCTGATTCTCCCTGGAAGGATAATTCCTGGAATTCCTGAGGGTGCCCTGTGCATGGATGCTTTCTGTGCAGCGCTGGATGAACCGGGACAGCGAGAGCTGCAGGCTCCTGGCACAGGCCCTGCTCCTCCTCCCCACCCCCTGCAGCCACCAAATCCCTAATTTTTCATCCCGCTGGAATTTGGGATTAGCCTGCAGCTGGGAGCACATCTGGATCAGCTAAACCTGAGCAGGGGCAGCTTTGGCACAGCTGGGTTTAGGCGTGGTTTTATTCTGCTCACAGAATCCTTTGGAGGAGGGAGAGGGGATTTCTTTGCTTCATCCCATTCCAATTTTTTTTTTCTTTTTTTCCTTCAAAGGTTTGGATAAAATAGAATTCCTCCAGAGCCACGAGAACCAGGAGATCTACCAGAAAGCCTTTGACTTGATTGAGCACTACTTTGGGGTGGAGGACGACGCGGCCGTGGCTCCCCAGGTGGACGAGAACCAGCAGCAATACATCTTCCAACAACCCGAGGCTCCCATGGAAGGATTCCAGCTATAATCCTGGGGGAAACCTCCAAAAAAAAAACCAACAAAAAAACAAAACAAAAAAAACCCCAAAAAAACCCACCACAAACTTTCTGGAAAGTTTGGGAGAGCAGCTGCAGGTCCTGGCTGGGAAGGTTGGACACCCACTCCACCTGTTTGGGAGAACTCGACAAACACAGAGAGCGCCCGGTGCTGCCAGAGAAAAGGGGAATTTCTGCTCTTTGTTCCTTTGGGCTGCTGCTCACCTTGGTTTGGAGGCAGGGAGGACACACAGGTGACAGCTGGCACCTCTTGGTGGCTTCTTTTCATGCTGGTGTCTCCCCAGTGCAGTTTTTTACCTCCAGCCTTGGGTTGGGTGAGGACACAAGAGAGGAGGGAGCTGTTCTGGCCACAGTAATTCTGCAAAAACCTGGCTTGATCTATTTAAATTTTCTTTTTTTTTTTTTTTTTTTTTTTTTTTTTTTTTTTTTTTTTTTTTTTTTTTTTTTTTTTTTTTTTTTTTTATTGCACATGTTATTCTTTATTAAAGACTCTTTAATATGCCAAGAGCAAAATTTAGCCCTGGCCTTCCTCCTTCAGGTGGACAATCCTGGTGAAGCCAGGACCAGTTCCCTGATGAAAAATACTGAAAATGGACAGAAAAAATGAGAAGTTCTCTCACTGCTGGGAAGTTGTTTTTTTTTTTCCTGCTGCTTCCCTTTCTCTAGATTTTTTTTTTTTTTGAAGAACTGCTAGTTGTATTTCCAAGGATTAAAAAAGCAACAAGAGCCCAAAGATGGGAACTGGGGTGGAATTTTTGGAGCAGGAAGCACACAGCTGCTGTTGCACAGGTTTGGTTTGCATTGTACTGACTGATCTCAGAGCTCTGAAATGCTGAAACCCACCTTCATCTTTACTTGAAATACTTTATTTGCCATGAGAAACGTGGGCTGAATTCGGGGTTTTTCCTGCCTTGGGGTGGTTTTGGGGTGGAGGAAGGTTTGGCTCCACCTGCCAGCGGTGATGGGAGCTCCAACAGCACCAGGTTTTCAGGCTTACCTCCTGCTCACAGTCAGAAAATGCACATTTTACTTCCAAAAACGGCAAATCTCTGTATTTTTTTATAGCATAGATAGGGAAATATTTGTCCAATTGGGCCACAGAGAAAAAACAGAGGTGAAATTTCTGTGATTCCTGTAAATAAGCGCTGTGAGGCGGGCACGCCTGGAACCCCCCCCGCGCTGCTGCTCCTGCCGGTGAGCGCGGAGCTCCCGAGCCCCCGCGGCGCCTATTGAGCCGCGATTTCGGTAAAAACAGAGGAGCAAACACCCGGTTCCGGGCTGCGGGGCCCTTGTTGTGGAACGAATAAACTCGGCCTGTGCAGGTGTCCGGTGTGGCGTGATGGGGGGACCGGGGGGCGCTCGGTGACCTTGGGAGGGGCCCCCGGTGCCCGGTAACAGCGGCGGCGCGCGGGGCCTGCTGGGAGTTGTAGTCTCCAGGCCGGTCGTGCGCAAGGCATGCTGGGAGTTGTAGGCAACTTTTTTTCCCCCCCCTCCTTTCTTTCTTTCCCTTCTCCTCCCGCCCTTCCTCCTCCTCCTCCTCCTCTTCCTCATCTGCTTTCCCTCCAAAGGAGCAGGGCGGGAATTGTTGTTCCCCAAGGCAGCCGTGCGCCGGGCATGTCGGGAATTGTAGGCCACAGTTCCCCCTCCTTTCTCACCCTCCTCTTCCCCAACCCCGGGGCATGGCGGTAGTTGTAGGATACAGTCTCCTTCCCCTTCTTCCTCCTCTTCCTCTTCTCCTTCCAGGCCTACAGAGCAAGGCCGGGAGTTACAGTTCCTATGGCGACGGCCGCGCGAAGCACGCCGGGAGCTGTAGTCCCCGCCGGCGCTCTCTCGCGGAGCACGCCGGGAGCTGTAGTCCCCTCAGCGCCTCCCGCCGCGCTTGCCGCCTCTCCCCCGGTGCCTCCCGGCAGGCCCCGCGCGGCGGGCGCTGATTGGGCGGCGGCGCGGGCGGGCGCACGCGCGGCCGTTGTGAGGCCCGGGCCGAGCCGCTCCCTCAGCGCCGGTACCGCCGCCACCGCACCGGCACCGGCACCGCCCGGGCACCGGCACCCGCCGGGCACCGGCGCCCGCCGAGCGCGAGGAACCAGGCCACACCTGCGTCAGACCGCCGGCGCTGACGTCACGGGGTGCGCGCGTGACGTCACCGCGGTGCGGGGAGGGGGCGGCGCGGGGCGGCTTTAACGGGGGGGGTGGGGCACCGGGGCCGTAACGGGGCTGGGGGGGGCCCGGTGGAACGGGGGCGGCACGGGACGGGGCTGCCGGTGCCCGGGGAGCCATGGGCCGGGGGCTCCCGCGGGGGTGCGGGGCCGGTTCTCGCCGCCGAGCCCCGGTTATTGCTGCCGTGCCCCGGTTATTGCTGCCGTGCCCCGGTTATCCCTCCCATTCCCCGGTTATCTGTCCCGTGCCCCGGTTATCGCCGCCGTGCCCCGGAGCTGCGCGGGGAAAAGGAGCGCCCGAGGCGCGGGGCAGGTGCCGGTGAAGGGCCGGGCCGTGCCCCGGACACCCCGCACGTGGGCGGTGACACGGGCCGGGCTCTGCCGCCGCTCTGCCCTCCGGTGTTCCTTCCAGGAGTCCCGGTGTGACCGGGGAATGGCCCCGGTGTGACCGGGAACGGCCCCGGTGTGACCGGGGAACGGCCCCGGTGTGACCGGGAACGACCCTGGCAGGGCTGGCCCCGGTGTGACCGTGAACGGCCCCGGTGTGACCGGGGAACGTCCCCGGTGTGACCGGGAACGGCTCCTCCTTTCCCCCCGGTCCAGCAGCAGCAGCTCCCAATGAGGGCGACAATGATGATAATGGGAATTTGGGTGAGAATGGATTTAGGGTGATAATGGGGAGGCTGAGACCATCCCGACCCCTCACGGGTGAGGATGAGGAGCTGGAATTTCGGGCTTCCTCAGCCAGGGAATTCAGGAGGAGTTGCCCTCTGTGCCGTGCAGGTGCCGATTTTTGGCTCAGGTGTGAAATCCAAGAGCTGGGAAGGGCAGAAAGGGCTGCGGGGGTTGTGCCCAGAGGGAAAATTCCGTTTATCTGCGGGCTGGGAGCTGCTGCCTTGCTCCAGAGCAGCATTCCAACGGGAATTATCCCGACACAAACCCGGGAGTGGAGAGATGCTTCCCTCAGCACGGAGCTTCTGCTGCTGATGGCTCCCAAAATCCTGCAGATGTCCTCAAAGCCTTTCTGTCCCCACAGAGCCCGAGGGGGTGCACGGGCTGTGATGAAGAACCAGGCAACGGAGGCCAAAGCAGCTCCACGTCCTTCCAGAAGGAGCGGCGGGATGGGGCTGGAGGAGGGAGACGCTCCGGAGGCTGCAGCCCCCGCGGAAGGTGGGGGACCCCTGGGGCTGGGGGGTCCCGGCCCTGCGGTGGGCGAGGGCGGCGTCGAGCTGCCACGAGACAGGGAGCTGCTTGTCCAGCTCAAGGCAGACAATCCTGCTTTTCCAGGGCAGAAAATCCTGCTTTTCCAGGGCAGAAAATCCTGGTTTTCCAGGTCAGAAAGTCCTGGTTTTCCAGGGTAGAAAGTCCTGGTTTTCCAGGTCAGAAAATCCTGGTTTTCCAGATCAGAAAATCCTAGTTTTCCAGGGTAGAAAATCCTGCTTTTCCAGAGTAGAAAATCCTGGTTTTCCAGGATAGAAAGTCTTGGTTTTCCAGGGTAGAACATCCTGGTTTTCCAGATCAGAAAATCCTGGTTTTCCAGGACAGAAAATCGTAGTTTTCCAGGGCAGAAAGCCTGGTTTTCCAGGGTAGAACATACTGGTTTTCTAGTGAAGAAAATCCTGGTTTTCCAGGGCAGATAATCCTGGTTTTCCAGGGTAGAAAATCCTGGTTTTCCAGGGTAGAAAATCCATGTTTTCCAGTGCAGAAAATCCTGGTTTTCCAGGATAGAAAATCCTGCTTTTCCAGCACAGAAAACTGTGGTTTTCCAGAACAGAAAACCGTGGTTTTCCAGGGTAGAAAATCCTGGTTTTCCAGGGTTGAAAATCCTGGGGTTTTTCCCCTTTTCCTGTGTGTGTGCAGTCCTGGAGGAGTTCCCCTCTCCAGCCCGCTGCCAGGACGTTCCGCCTGCTCCATCCCTGTTTGATCCCAGCTGCTCTTCCCCAGGTTTAAAATCCATTGTCATGCTAAAAATCCCAGCCTTGGAGCTGCCAATTCCTCTGGGAGGGAGGTAAAAACCTCACACACAACCTGCTTCCCTTAAAAAGAAAAAAAAAGGAGTGGAGAGGGGGATATTCTCCCTCTTGACAGATGTCAGGGGCTTGGTCATGCTCTGCTGATCAAAACTGTTGGGAATTCCCTGACAATGGAACAAAGCAGCTTCTCCTGCTGCAAGTCCAGCCAGGAAAAACCTCCCATTCCCTGGGTGAGAGAAGGGAGGGAAGCCTCAATTTTTTTTTTGTTTTGTTTTGGTTTTATTGTGTTATTTTTTTATTTTTTTCCCCCCTTTCCAAGCTGCCCTGAGCCAGGAGGATCCCAAATCCTCCCGCGACGTCTCGGAGGAGCTGAGCCGGCAGCTGGAGGACATCCTGAGCACCTACTGTGTGGATGCCAGCCAGGAGAACCCGGGCGAGGACGGCGGGCAGGGCGATGCCCCCGAGCCCGAGGAGCCCGAGAAGGGCCGGAGCGAATCCCCCAGGAACGGGGAGCAGGAGCCGGGCGGCCCCGAGCTCAACGGCGAGAAGGAGAACTCCAAGGGCACCGAGGAATTCCGGCCCGGAGAGGAGGCTGGAGACAGGGATCAGAAGAGAGCTCAGGAGAAGAAGAAAGCCAAGGGTTTAGGTGAGCGATTCCCAGCTCCCCAAGGGGTTTAGGGGAATAATTCCCTGCTCCCAGGGGGTTTGGGTAAAGGATTCCCAGCTCCCAAGGGGTTTAGGTGAGGGATTCCCAGTTCCCCAAGGGTTTAGGTGAGAGATTCTCAGTTCCCCAAGGGTTTAGGTAAGGGATTCCCAGCTCCCCAAGGGTTTAAGTAAAGGATTCCCAGCTCCCAAGGGGCTTAGGTGAGGGATTCCCAGCTCCCCAAGGGTTTAAGTAAAGGATTCCCAGCTCCCAAGGGGTTTAGGTGAGGGATTCCCAGCTCTCCAAGGGTTTAGGTGAGGGATTCTCAGTTCCCCAAGGGGTTTAGGTGAGGGATTCCCAGCTCCCCAAGGGTTTAGGTGAGGGATTCCCAGCTCCCCAAGGGTTTAAGTAAAGGATTCCCAGCTCCCAAGGGGTTTAGGTGAGGGATTCCCAGCTCCCCAAGGGTTATGGGGAAGGATTCCCAGCTTCCCAAGGGTTTAGGTGAAGGATTCCTTGCTCCCAAGTGGTTTGGGTAAAGGATTCCCAGCTCCCAAGGGGTTTAGGTGAGGGATTCCCAGCTCTCCAAGTGTTATGGGGAAGGATTCCCAGCTCCCCAAGGGTTTAGGGGGAAAATTCCCAGCTCCCCAAGGGTTATAGGGAAGGATTTCCTGCTCCCCAGGGGTTTAGGTAAAGGATTCCCAGTTCCTCAAGGGTTTAGGTAAAGGATTCCCAGCTTCCCAAGGGTTTAGGGGAAGGATTCCCTGTTCCCCAAGGGTTTAGGGGGAAAATTCCCAGCTCCCAAGGGGTTTAGGCGAGGGATTCCCTGCTCCAGCTGTTCCCAAGGATATCAGTGCATGGATAAATGTGTTTTGTCCCACATTTATCAGCCTTTGGGAACTTCCTGCTGTTCTGTGAGAGTGAGGAATGCACCCCGTGCAGCCTCTGAATTTTGTGGGTTTCTGTTCTGCTGGGCACACCTGGCTCCAGCCAACCCAGGGTTGGTTTCCCCCTCCAAAATCCAGCTGCTCCAGTTCTCCCATCACGGGGAAATCCTGGGAGTACACTGGGAATCTGCTCAGCTCCTCCTTTTCTCACCTTTTCCAAGCCAGAACTCAACGTAAAGCCATTTTTTATCCCGCTTATTGCATTATTCCCATTCCACATCTCCTTCCAGGCAAGGAAATCACTTTGCTGATGCAGACCCTGAACACCCTGAGCACGTCAGAGGAGAAACTGGCAGCTCTGTGCAAGAAATACGCTGAGCTGGTGAGTCCTGGGGCTCGGGGAGGGACATTCCAGGCTCCCACTGGAGCTTTGTGGGATCCCTGCAGTGCTGGGTCTCTGCCCAGCAGAGCGTGGGTGTCGCTGGGTGCAGCCCGGTGGCGATGGCGAAGCGTGGGCAGAAGGAATTTTGGCAAATCTGGGTGCAAACAAAAAAGTTTTCCTGGTGGAAATAAGGAATCATGGGAGGCCGAATGGGTTGGGAGCATGATTTTGGGAAGTTGTCCTGGTGGAAATAAGGAATAATTGGAGGCTGAATGGGTTGGGAGCATCATTTTGGGAAGTTTTCCTGGTGGGTATAAGAACATAATTTTGGGAAGTTTTCCTCATGGAAATAAGGAATAATGGGAGGCCGAATGGGTTGGGAGCATCATTTTGGGAAGTTTTCCTGGTGGAAATAAGGAATCATGGGAGGCTGAATGGGTTGGGAGCATCATTTTGGGAAGTTTTCCTGGTGGATGTAAGAACATCATTTTGGAAAGTTTTCCTCATGGAAATAAGGAATAATGAGTGGGAGGCTGAATGGGTTTGGAGCGTGATTTTGGGAAGTTTTCCTGGTGGGTATAAGGACATCATTTTGGGAAGTTCTCCTGGTGGAAATAAGGAATAATGGGAGGGTGGATGGGTTGGGAACATCCTCAGAAGTGTTTTCACCCCCTGATGCCAGTTTAACCAGAGCCAAGGCGGACTTGCAGGCGTGGATCTGGAACTGGAGGAGGTTTGGGGCTGCCTATGCTTGTCCAAAGTGTCCGTGGGGGGACAAGCTGGGGGAACGTGGAGCTCCTAACTGCAGCAGGGTGGGAATTGAGGAAGGAGAAAGGGCTCTGTGTCACTCCTGCCGTGCCCAGGGGTGTCACAGACCCGCTGTCCTCGTGGCACAGCGAGCTGCTGTCCCCTCGGGGGGGACACAGCCCTGCCCTGCTGCCCCCCACACCCTCCGCTCCCCCCGGCAGCTGGAGGAGCACCGCAACTCGCAGAAGCAGATGAAGATCCTGCAGAAGAAGCAGAGCCAGCTGGTGCAGGAGAAGGATCACCTGCAGAGCGAGCACAGCAAGGCCATCCTGGCCAGGAGCAAGCTGGAGAGCCTGTGCCGGGAGCTGCAGAGGCACAACCGCACCCTCAAGGTGACACCCCTCATCCCTGCCCCTTCCCAAATCCTGCATCCCTCTCCCTGAGCCCTTTGGGCAGCCTCGCCTTCCCCAGGGCTGCCCCAGCTCTGCCACCAGGGATTTGGGGATTTGGGGATTTTGGTGTTGGGCAGCATCACCTGCAGGATCCCAGCTGGTATTTCAGGGTTTGTGCAGGAGGGAGGGAAGGGGAAGGGCCAGAGTCCTTTCCTGTGGATGTAAGGAAAAACAGGAGGCTGGGTGGGTTGGGAGCATCATTTGGGAAGTTTTCCTGGAGGTATAAGGACATCATTTTGGGAATGTATTCCTGGTGGGTATAAGGACATCATTTTGGGAAAGTTTTCCTGGAGGTATAAGAACATCATTTTGGGAAAGTTTTCCTCATGGAAATAAGGAATAACGGGAGGTTGAATGGGTTCGGAGCATAATTTTGGGAAGTTTTCCTGATGGACGTAAGAACATCATTTTGGGAAGTTTTTTTGATGGAAATAAGGAATCATGGGAGGCTGAATGGGTTGGGAACAGAATTTTGGGAACTTTTGCTGATGGATGTAAGAACATCATTTTGGAAAGTTTTCCTCATGGAAATAAGGAATAATGGGAGGTTGAATGGGTTGGGAACAGAATTTTGGGAAGTTTTTTAATGGAAATAAGGAATCATGGGAGGTTGAATGGGTTGGGAGCATAATTTTGGGAAGCTGGATGTAAGAACATAATTTTGGGAAGTTTTTTTTTGATGGAAATAAGGAGTAATGGGAGGCTGGGTCATATTGGTAAGTCTTTTTGATGGATATAAGGACATCAATTTGGGAAGTTTTCCTTATGGAAACAAGGAATAATTGGAGGCTGGGTGGGGTGGGAACATAATTTTGGGAAGTTTTTTAATGGATATGAGGAATCATGGGAGCCGGATGGGTTGGGAACATCATTTTGGGAACTTTTCCTGATGGATATAAGGAATCACGGGAGGCCGGATGGACTTGGGAACATCAATTTGGGAAGCTTTCCTTATGGAAACAAGGAACAACGGCAGGCTGGGTGGCTTGGGAACATCAATTTGGGAAGTTCCTCCCTTCCCTCCCGCAGGAGGAGGGCGTGCAGCGCGCCAGGGAGGAGGAGGAGAAGAGGAAGGAGGTGACCTCGCACTTCCAGGTGACGCTGAACGACATCCAGCTGCAGATGGAGCAGCACAACGAGCGCAACTCCAAACTGCGCCAGGAGAACATGGAGCTGGCTGAGAGGCTGAAGAAGCTCATCGAGCAGTACGAGCTCAGGGAGGAGGTGGGTTCTTGGAATTTGTGGTGTTCAGGTGATTCCCAGATTGTAAAAGTCTCTGTCTGTCAGCCCCGCTGCCAAAGCAGAAGCCATAATTGGTCTGTGCTGGTTTCCAGGTTGTTTATTCTGTTGATCTCTCACATGTTCTGCTGCCCTGCCCAGCTCTGTCCTGCAGGGCAGCGTGTGGGGCTCTGCCCTCAGTGGGATGTGACAAACATTAAATACCAGAAACTCCCTGGGCTGGATTTACAAGAACGTGCCAATATCTGTCACCTTCGTTGGACAGTGTGTCCCCAGCCTGAACCAACAGAAAAATGCCAACACCACAGTGAAACATGGAGGGCATGAAGAAGGAGAAAAAGGACAAGGCACACCCAATTTCCTCCATCTTGTCCCCTTTGGACCCCTCATCTAGAATCCTAATATTTTACTTTTGCACCTGTGCCACACTTAATTATTACTGATATCAAACACTCAGAGCTTGTAATTCATCCTGTAAGATTGAAAACTCTTTTCCATGGACAGAGATCACAGCCAGTGTCTCTGGGGGCTCACAGAGCCCCCAGAGACACTGTCTGTGATCTCTGTCCATGGTCCCAGAGCAGCCAGAGGGAATCTCTGGATTCCCACAGGGAGCTGCCAGAGGGGAGGAGGAGGCTCTGGGTGTGTCCCCTGAGCTGTGGTTGTTCCCCCTGCAGCACATTGACAAGGTGTTCAAGCACAAGGAGCTGCAGCAGCAGCTGGTGGACGCCAAACTGCAGCAGGCCCAGGAGATGCTGAAGGAGGCAGAGGAGAGGCACCAGCGGGAGAAGGATTTTGTAAGTGTTGCAGCAGTTGCTTGGGGAACTTTTTGGTGGATCCTGGGGCGTTATCCCAGATTTTGGCATGTCCAGGAGCCAGGCTGGAGCCCTGCTGTGCCAAGAGCATTCCCAGATAACTGCTTTGCTCTTCCCCAGCTGCTGAAGGAAGCTGTGGAATCACAGAGGATGTGTGAGCTGATGAAGCAGCAGGAGACCCACCTCAAGCAGCAGGTGAGTTCCCTGCTCAGCCCATTTTGTTTGGGGATTTCCCTCCCTCCCTGAACAACCCAAAGCTCCTTAATGTGGAAAACAGAGAGGCAAAAGATCCCTGCTGGGTTTGTTTTTATGAGCTGAGACTTTGTTCAGGGGCTGTTTCCCAGTGCTGGGAGCAGTCACAGGATCAGGCCAGGAGGAATTTGCGGAGCACTCTGCTCCGAGGATGTTTCCCTAGGACAGAATTTGCCTTTGGCAGAGCAGCTCCTGCTGTTTGTCCACGTCCCAGGGCAGCAGCTCAGCCCTTGGCTGGCCTCTCCCCTCTCCAGGCACTGAGCTCCCTGCCTCTCTCCACAGCTGGCTCTGTACACGGAGAAGTTTGAGGAGTTCCAGAACACCCTTTCCAAAAGCAGTGAAGTGTTCACCACGTTCAAACAGGAGATGGAGAAGGTGGGTGATGCTTTTTCCTCCGTGCTGCTGGGAGCTGGAAGAGCCCCAGCTCCGTAATTCCAGATAATTTTGGGTCTACACCCAAAATTTGGGGTGACACATGAGGACCTGTGGGATGTCACTGCAATGTTCTCCCTGGGGCTTATTTATTCTGATCCCTGTGGATCCCTTCCAGCTCAGGACGTTTTGTGACTCAATTTTTGCCTTTTCTGTGATTCTGTAGATGACCAAGAAAATCAAGAAGCTGGAGAAGGAGACCTGGGGTTTATTTATTGTGGTCCCTGTGGGTCCCTTCCAGCTCAGGACGTTTTGTGACTCAATTTTTGCCCTTTCTGTGATTCTGTAGATGACCAAGAAAATCAAGAAGCTGGAGAAGGAGACCACCATGTACCGCTCCCGCTGGGAGAGCAGCAACAAGGCCCTCCTGGAGATGGCAGAAGAGGTGAGGGGAGGCTCTGGAGCAGCTGGGGAGGGTGGGGTGGGCACAGGACAGGTCCTGCCTCATGCTCTGTGAGGCCAAAGGGAGGAAGAAGCTCCTTGGTGCTTGGGGTGCTGAAGGTTTTGCTTGGTTTCCCCTCAGGCTTCCCTAGAATCACTCATTGGGCTGGAAGGGACCTTAAAGTTCATCCCATTCCACCCCCTGCCATGGGACAGGCAGGGACACCTTCCACTGTCCCAGGTTTCTCCAAGCCTGGCCTTGGAGCCTCCCAAGGATCAAGGGGCACCCAGAGCTTCTCTGAGCACCTGTGCCAGAGCTTCAGCACCCTCACAGGGAGGAATTTCATCCCAGGATTCCCCAAGCTTGGCCTTGGAGCCTCCCAAGGATCATGGGGCACCCACAGCTTCTCTGAGCACCCTGTGCCAGGGCCTCCCCACCCTCTCAGGACGGAATTTCACCCCAATATCCCACCCAACCCCACCTCCCTCCGTGTCAGACCATGCCCCCCGTCCTGTCCCTGACGTCCCGCTGGGGTTGCACCTCTCCCTGCAGAAAACGCTGCGGGACAAGGAGCTGGAGGGGCTGCAGGTGAAGATCCAGCGCCTGGAGAAGCTGTGCCGGGCGCTGCAGACGGAGCGCAACGACCTCAACAAGAAGGTGCAGGACCTGTGTGCCCACACGGAGCTGCCAGAGCCCCTGAAGGAGCCCCTGAAGGAGCCATCCCCATCCCGGGACAGCTCCGAGGCAGCTCCGCGTTCCCCGAGCTCGGGAATGGCCCCGGGCAGCCCCGACCCCGCGGGGATCCCGGCAGAACCGGGGCACAGCGGGACTGAGGAGGGCACCGGGGGCACCGACTGAGCCCCCCCGGGCAGGACACACGGCTGGGGTGAGGGAGGGTGACCTGGGAGCTGCTTTAGATTCCATTCTGCTCGTCCTTGGTGGGAAAGGACAGGGCACAGCCCTCCCTGGGGGATGTGAGATTTCCTAGTTTTAGGTTTTTTTGGAGGGTTTTTTTTAAGATTTTATATATATATATATATATATATATATATATGTATATATATATATATATAAATGTGCAGGGCAACACTTTATCTATGGATATCCATAAGAAGCAGAAGGGCCCAGCTCCCTGCCTGTGTGAATATTGAAAAGATGGAGCTTCAACTGATTGTCCCTCTCACTAAAGGACCTTGTCACTGGCAGGCTCAGCAGAGCAGAGCCAGGGATCTGTGCCCCTGCACAGCTACAAGGGACATGCCTCCACTGTCACGAGAGTGACAGCAGAGCTGGGAGAATCCCAGAGCATTCCCAGGGCTGGATTCTCCCCATTCCCTCTGCTCCCAGGGGGAGCTCCTGGCAGCTCGTGGGCGAGCCGAGGGCACCAGAGGCCGTTCCCCTGCCCTCTGCGGGCTCTGGGTCTGCAGTGGGGACGAGGAGAAGCAGGAGAAGGGGGTGCCCGCTCCCACCCTTGGGAATTCTTGCTCTTCCCAGGCCCTGCCAATCTCAAAACCGCCTTACAATTCACAGTTGCCTCTTTGCTGAACGCACACGTGCACAAAGTGTATTAAACAGTTAACCCAAAGGTCTAATTCCCAAGTGTTTCGCAGCGTTGTGCACAGGGACTGGGGAGGTGCCCCAGCCCTGGAGGCATCCACGGGGCTGGGAAGGGCTCCAGGAGGATCCCAGCTCAGAGCTCTGCGTGCTCCTGGGGCTGCTCCTGCATCCCCCCGGCCTGGGGGTGCCTGTGCTGTCCCAGCCCCACTTCTCCTCTCCCTCTCTGCCTGGAAGAGCATCTCCCCAGTGCTGCCTCACCCCGCGGGGCCTGGATGTGCTGGGAGGGAGTTTAGGGACACACGTGGGACCTGCTGGCACCAGGTTTTGGGATTTTCCTCAGTTTGTCAAGACTTTTGTCTTTTTGCTGTTCATTTGGAAGACTTGGACTCACTTCAAACCTCGCTGCAGCTTCTCTTGGTGACAGACTTTATTCCCAGCGTTGTGCTGGAAGCTGATCCCCACCGTGGATGGAGCCACTGGATCCCTCTGGGATTCTCTCCTGGCACCACAGCTGCTCTCACACCTTCCCTCCACGAAGGAGCTGCCTCCGTGCCCCCTGCTCCTCCAGAGGATTCCCGGGAATGCTGAGGATGGACAGGCCCTGAGGCTCCACAGGCTGGGCATCCACTGGGACAGTCCCTGGAGCTCTGGTGGCTTTGTCTTCCAGCCCCAGCGTGGCTCCTCCAGGATGATCCATGAATGTAACCCGGCCGGGCTGAGCGAGGGCTGCTGCCGAGATCTGGACTTCATTAAAGCAAAACCCCTTAGAAATTCACCAAACCCCCTTTTATTTTTCTGTCTTTTCCCTGTTAAGGTACAGAAACCTCCTCGTGTGTATCCTGTATCCAATAGAGACACTCCCAACCTCGCTGCTGCCTCTGGTGTCTCTCTTCTTTACCACACTGGGGGGTGAAGTGAAGATTTTGGGCTGTGGGGTGGCTCTGTGGGACACAACTTCCCTGTGTCCTGTCACAGCTGAGACAGCCACGATACCCAGAGTGTCGCCGTGCAATTTCAGAAAGCTCCAGCCCTTCCAGAGTAACATCAGGTCACTTCAGAATCCTGAAAATCTAATTTTTCTTTACCCAGTTTTTTATCCCCTCACGTTCACACATTGCACCTGGGTGCTCTGTGTGGTTACTGAGCACACCTGGGCACTCCGTGGCTCACCTGCCCTTCTCAGATTTCAGAAAGCAATTTCAGAAAGCTCCAGCCCTTCCAGAGTAACACCAAACCTCATCAGAAGGCTGCATAGCTAATTTTTCTTTACTCAAATTTTTATCCCCTCCTGTTCACACTTTGCATCTCTGTCCCTGTGTGAGTGCTCAGCACACCTGGGCACTCCGTGGCTCACCTGCACCCACGGCGGAGCAGCCACTCCCGATCACCACAAACTCACCCCAGCTCTGCTCCTCCTTTCCAGCGCCAGCGACCTGGCGGAGGCCGGCAGGGACGTTTTGCTGCCGTGGATGGGATGTCCCTGCTCAGGGAGGAAATTTGGGGGTCCCCAGCGTCACCTGGCCTCTCCCACCCCGGGGTGCTGCAGCCGCCGGCCCCGGGGGTATCAACATCCCCCTCCGGCTGCTCCATGGTGCCGCCATCGGCTCCAAAATGTCCAAAATCGGTTAAAAATCCGGGATTTAGCGGAGCAGCCGCGCTCGGGCTGGAAGGCGGGGAGGGAGGGGACGGGATTTGTTTAATCCCGGCCCTGCGCCAGGGCTGGCGGCCCTTCCCGGCTCCTTCCAGCGGGGACGGATCCTGCGGCGCCGCGGTGACACCGGAGGGGACCCGGGGTAAATAAACCCGGGGCCGGGAGCGGGTGGCAGGAACGGCCCGGGGGCTCCGCGGGCTCGGATCGCGGCGCATTCCCGGTCCTGCGGGATGCTGATCCCGGGGTCACGCCCGGGGATCCCGCGGGCAGCCCGGAGGAAGTTCCCTTTGCCTTTAAATGCAAATCCCGGGCTGTGCGGACGGTGTCCGGCGGCCGCGGGGTGTCCGGTGGGCTCGGGGTGCCCGGCGGGTCCCGGAGGCCGGAGCGGGCCTGGCGCAGGTCAGTCCCGGCCGGAGGTTGCGGACAAAGGGGACAAAGCGGCTCCGCAGCCCCGGAGCTGCCCCGTCCCGGCGGGGACCGGGGCTCGGCGGGACAAAGCGGGGACGGTCCCCGTGCGCTCCGCTCTCACCGGGCCGGTTCGGGACCGAAATCCTCTTTTCCATCGAGAGACGGGGCCCGACCGGAGCTGCGGCTGCGGGTCAGGCCCCGGCCGAGCTCCGGGCGCGGAGAGAGAGCGGAGCCCCCGGGAACGGGAGACCGAGGGACCGAGCCCCTGCTCCGGTCCTCCCGCCGCCACCGAGCCCCGGCGCGGCTCGCGGTGGCCGTGGGTGTCGCTTCTTAACCGGGGGATCCCGGTGCCTGT